AATTTGAGACAACACATCCTAATTGTTTCACCATGACATCTCGGACCACTTGCATGTGTTGCAGTGGATGATGATTGATACTGAGCAAAGCTTGGGTTCCATACAGTGGAATCAAGCCATTGGAAGGCAGTAAAAAAGATGAAGCAGCAGCCAGTACTCCTCAAATTTGCTTGACATTTGCTACACAGCAGAGATTTTGAAGCTTCTTCTCATACAGTCGCCGACATGACAAAACTGACTGGCCCAAGCTGCGTTGGGTTTATGACGTCTATTTGGCTTTGCTGCGAGTTAGCCTGATGGGCTCTTCAATGTCGTCTCCAGCACGGGCTCCACCTCAAGTGCGGAGCATTCTTGCCCGCTGGATTGCCACAGCGGAAGCTGGTCAAGTGCTGGAAGATCATGTAATTAGCTTTGAGAACGGCCGGATTTTGTCAATTCTGCCAAAGGCAGAGTTTGGCTCCCAGCCAGACTTGCATTTGCCGACTCATGTTCTGATCCCTGGATTGATCAATGCGCATACCCATACGCCAATGTCACTCCTGAGGGGATATGCAGACGACCTGCCCTTGAACGAGTGGCTTTTTCAGCATATTTTTCCAACAGAAGGCAAGTTCGTTTTTGAGGCACCGACAGACGAGGCCAAGGAGTTTGTGAAGCGTGGTTCTGAATTGGCATGCTATGAGATGTTGAAGACAGGGACCACCGTATTCAATGATATGTACTTTCATGGAGACGCCACGGCCTCTGTTGCTCGGCAAGCCGGAATGAAGGCAGTTCTAACTCAGGCTGGCTTGCTGTATTTCGGGGATGATGCGGTGTTCACTGGATTGGTCAAGCAAAACGTGGACTTTTGTTCAGGACTTTTGGCATCCGGAGATTCGCACATCAGACCATCGCTTTTGCCTCACTCAGTGTATATGGTGCCAGAAGAGAAACTCAAGGAAGTGAAGGCAGCATATGACAATTGTGGAGGTCATGTGGTTATACATACTCATTTGCATGAGACCAAGAAGGAAATCGAAGATGTGGCAAAAACAGGAAAGTCTGCAATCGAAGTTTTAGACTCTGTGGGCCTGTTGAACTCTCGAACGGTTTGTGCACACTGTGTTCACATGACGGATGCTGAGATCGAAGTCATGGCTGCAAGAGGTGCCAATGTGGCACACTGTCCCAGAAGCAATCTGAAGTTGGGCTCTGGCATAGCTCCCGTTGCTGACATGTTGAAAGCAGGAGTGAATGTGTGCTTGGGAACTGATGGAGCATCTTCCAACAACACTCTGGACATGTTAACGGAGATGCTAAGCTGAGATATTTGTCCGATCACATTTTTACTCGCAGTCAGCTAATTACATAACCATTTCTTTTGTTTGGCAGTGAAGGTCACTGTATATAACTGTTTGCTTGACAGGCTGAACTTTCTTTACGTGTGCTCCCGCTGCTTCAGGATGCAGTATGCCTCGATGATTGCAAAAGGAAGCACTGGGGATCCAACAGTTTTGCCCGCCAAAGAAGTCCTGGAAATGGCGACGATCCGTGGTGCACGTGCTCTTGGTATGGAAAAGGAGACTGGGTCGCTCCAAGTTGGATCCCAAGCCTTAGCTGTTTGAACAATACGTTGAAACACCCGCTTTCACAGACAACGGCCAAACCACTCTGTGAATACTTGTACAATACCTGGTTCAATCAGGTTCTTAAACGAGAACATGCCATTTGGCAAAGCCCCAGACAACAGACAAGTCTTGCCCTTCCCCTAGTCTTGTTTGGCTTTGCTAATACAAAATGCATCACATGGCACATTGGGAATCAGGCGAACAAGCAATAAGCCCAAGTTAAACCCCAACAGCAAGTGAGGCAAAGTGGATGTTTCAGATTCGGCCGCCCTGCCCCACCCTTGAAAGCAGAAAACTCTTTTTTACCAAACTCGGAGGCATGTCAGTGTCAGGTGCCACTGCGTACCTTTCTCACAAGCATATTCGGCAAATTTAAGGGCAAAGCCATTGGGGTGCCCAGATTGGCTGGTACTCGCAAGGACTTCTGCGAACACCAAGCCCTTCTACCAACTTCTGCGAAGGCAAACAGGGTTAGCACGAACTTTTGGAGAATTGTGAAAGCTCACGGGGATACTCTGTGGGCTGGAGAATGCATGGACTGACTTAAGAGGACGGAGACACTTGACTCGGAACCTGTGCTTGGAACCTCGGAACCTTCGAAACCATCACCGGGAACAATTCACTTGGACCCTTAAACTTGGAACTTTTTGGACACTTGACACGGA